TTATACATAATATACATAATATATGTATACATAATACATAATATATGTATACTTGTATGAGCATGTATAATAAAAATAATTAGAAAGACTTATATTATCCAATGAAAAAATATTTATAATCATAATTATAATTTTCTTATATCTATTTCTCCTTTCTATTATGATTTTCTTTTAATATATATACATAAAAAGGTATTTTTTATTAAAGGGAGTAATAGAAATTTATATTTCAAGATTTCTTTTTACACCTGGAACGCTTAGAGATAGTTTCGCGACTATTTTAAAAATAGCGAATTCGATTGAACGCAATAGCGCATATTAAAGCTGTTATACACTTATGTCTGTATTCGTAGTCAGACTTTATATTTAAGGCTTCTTTAAATTCGTCTTTAGATGCTCAGTAAAATAATAAAATAATTCGTACAGTATCTGAAGACAAATTTAAGGAATCCTTAAATAAAGGTCTGATTATAAAAATTGAAATATCTGTGTAAATAAAAATAAATATCTGTGTAAATGGTTAACCTATGTAAAAATAAAATACAAATATTTTGAATCAAAATACAGATTTTATTTAACAAGTATAATATAATGTATTCAATATGTATTCAAAATTTCATGATTTAATTCGTTTTTATATATTTATATTGAATATATTTTTTCATCAATTTGTGTATGATGGCTTTTAAGTGCATCTAATCGAACTTGTTATGAAATTATTTAAATATATATCAACAGAGCTATATAATACTTTAGCATATCCGTTAATTCTTATTTTTTCATTTCGAAGAGATCAAAGTAGGGTACAATAATTCTTGATTTTAAAATTAACAAGATTAACAGAATATACATATATCTCCTTCTTTATAGTAATAAATTTCACTGGCTTCATCTTCACTTGTATGAGAAAAAGAAAACTTGAATTAAAATATATATCCTTCCTCTAAATTTTTTGCTTGTTTCATCCTTTTTTGTTCTTTTGTAACCTAATATCTATTCTACAGCTTGTAATTGTTTGATTATACCAGTAAAAGTAGGTTATCAGATATTTGTTTTACTATATATACAATAAAATATTTAAATAAATCATTTTTGCTACAATATAAAGCATTTTTTTGCTCATTTGTTTTTTCTTGATCGATTTTTAAAAGATTTTTTGGATTTTTCTACAATGATATATAAGATGCGTACATATATATTTACTAGAATAGAAAGAATATATAAACGAATTAATAATAATTTATTATTAAAGCGTATTACAAGAATGTATAACAATTAATATTTAGAATATACTCACTTGTCCTTTTCTTGTTTCTATTGCAGATTTCTATTTCTGCCAAAACAAAGAATCAGTTTTGAGTTGATCTTAATTTTAATCTTAATTTTAATATGTAATTATATATTTACATCTACAAACAATTGTTATGTTACACACTTATAGGTGTAAGTCTAATGAATCACGCACCAATTCTGCAAAAACAATTTTCTTAAAGTATAAATCATATCTCTGTCTCGTGGCTAATAAATCAACAATGCAAACTAAAATCATACTAAAGTAACTCCCTATTAGTGTATCTTTGTATTTAAATAAAAGTCATGAAGAAAATTAATACAAATATAAACAAAAAAAAGTATTTTAATTTAATTAAATTATTAATGTATATGATATCAAAGATAATATTTTTAACTCTAATTTCTATTTTTTAACTATTAAAGTATAGTAATTTTTTTTAAATAGAGAAAACGTGAATCCACAAAATTTTAAGTTTATCCTTATAATGTGCCCTATATTGGAGTGGAG